ATAGTTTTACTTCTTATAAGATTATGAGGGCCAATTACATTTAAACTGCCACATATGGTATGGTTTCTTCCATAGCCAGGATCCATGGGTTCAGGAATCAAGGGATGGAAAAGAGAATAATTTCACTCACTATCACACTTAGTGACTACTAGGAAAATTTTCTTTCTGTTCCCATGACTTTAAGTTCTGCTAGCCTAGAAATTTTGATCTCACAGGAGGAAGTGCTCCTACCAGGAGCCACAACAAACATTATTGAACTGGAAGCTCAGACTTCCCCCTGGACACTTTGGGCTTCTGATACCATTAAGCTAAGAGGCTAAGAAAGGAATAAAAGTGTTAGGAGGGATGATTGATCCAGATTACCAAAGAGAAATTTGATTGCTTCAAGAAAGATTATGTCTGCAATATAGGGGATCCTTTAGAGCACTTCTTAGTGCTACCATGTCTGGTGATTAAAGTCAATTGGAAACTACAACCTAATCCAGGCAGGATGACAAAGGACACAGACCCTTCAGGAATGAAGGTATGAGTCACTCCAGGAAAAGAGCCAAGTGTGGGTTGATTTTTCTGTCCTGCCTAGCCAGCTCCCAAATAACCACACAGAGACTTATTATTAATTATAAATGATTGGCCAATAGCTTAGGCTTGTTAAAAACTAGATTTTACAATTTAAATTAACCCATATTTCTTATCTATATTTTACCATGTGGCTTGGTACCTTTCCTCAGTATGGCATGTTCATCTTGCTTCTCCCTGTGTTTCCTGGTACTCTGCCTTTCTTTATCCCAGAGCTCTCTCTGTGTCTACAAGTCCTGCCTAACCTCTTCTGCCTAGCTATTGACCATTTAGCTCTTTATTAAACCAATGAGAGCAACACATCTTCACAGTGTACAAAAAGACTATTCCACAACAGCCAACATCTGCTGAGGTGCTTGCTGAGGGTGGAGGAAATACAGAATAGGTAGTAGAGGAAGGTTATAAATACTAACTAAAGCCATGTGACCAGTTGCAGAAACAAGGATCATAATTGACATGAATGTTTCTGTCATATTTTGTTAAGCATGTGTTTGTACATATATCTGTGTTTTCTTTCCTTAATTTCTTTATAATGTGATATAACATCAATTAAGAGAGTATCAGAAGTTATTGTATTTAAGTTTGAGATTCTAAAAGACTGTTCCTCAAGGGACAATGCCATCTATTCTAAATGTTTGCAGTTGTATAAGGGATAGTTATATCATGTTAGGTGTAATTATGATCTGACTTAAATATATAATGCATTTGCAAGTGTACATGGGACAGTTTTATCATGTTAGATGTAATTATGACCTGGTTATTGTTTTCACTTAGAAATTAAGCGTGACTTAAGGAGATATGATTGTGTGTCAAGTTGATAAGGAGTGGACTGTAATGGCTATTCTTGGTTATCAACTTGACTAGATCTGGAATTAACTAAAACCCAAGCTGCTGGGTACATCTGTGAGGGAAATTTTCTTAATTAAATCATTTGAATGGGGATACCCACTTTTAATCTGGATCTTTTGAGGTGGAAGATCCACCTTTGATCTGGGCCACATCTTCCAGTGGCAGCCTATATAAAGGACATGGAAGAAGGAAGCTTGCTCTCTGTGTCTACTTGTTCTTGTTCTGTAAGTCCATTCCTTCACTAGCATTAGAGCTTACTTCTTCAGGATCCTGGCATATGCTGGAGACCAGCTGAGACATCCAGCCTCATAGACTGAACGGATACTGGATTCTTGTCTTGGACTTTCCATTGGTAGACAGCTATTGATGGACTAGCTGGACTACAGCCTGTAAGCCAGTCTAATAAATCCATTATATACATACATATATATGTACATATATATATATCTATACACACACACACACATATATATGTGTATATATATATATATATATATATATATATTCATTCTTTAAGTTCTGTTCCTCTAGAGAACCCTAATACACCGGCATACCCAGCACTTGGGAAACTGAAGTAAGTGACTGCTCAGAGACTGAGCCCAGCCTGAGATTTTATATTAATAAAATGCTGATTGGCCAGTAGCCAGGCAGGAAGTATAGGCAGGATAAGCAGAAAAGGAGAATTCTGAGAAGGGAAGGCTAAGTCAGGAGACGCCAGCCTGCCATCCAAGGAGCAGCATGTAATGGCACACAGGTAAAGCCACAGAATACATGGCAACATATAGATTAACAGAAATGGGCTGAGTTTAAGTGTAAGAGCTAGTCAGTAGTAAGCCTGAGCTAACGGCCAAGCAGTTTTAATTAATATAAGCCTCTGTGTGTTTACTTGGGTCTGAGTGGCTTCGGACCAGGTAGAACACAGGAAAACATTTAGCTACAGATACTCAGTGAAAACACTATCTCAAAACAAAACAAAACAAAACAAAACAAAATAAAAGATCTAGAGATATGGCCTACTTGGTAAAAAGTGCCTTATAAGCACAAGAACCTGAGTTCAATACCATTATGTGACAGACTTGTTCTGGAAAGGGACCGACAACAGACCACAGTACAGATCTGACCGAAGTCCAACGTGGAGAGCCAGTGAGTTCTATTAGGGTTGCTTACAGGAATATGGGTAGGGACTTTCTTATAGGCATAGAAATGACTTAAACACAGCTGTACCATCAAATCCCATCACAGCATGGGTGACAGACAGCTCACAAAAGCTCGAAACCTGGGGCACCGCACACGCTCTGCAGCAGCTCACCAGGTTGTAGTGTCCTTTCCAGGTTGGTAGCTTAGTGCGCCTGACCCTCTTCCAGGCTGCTTGGTTGGTCTTAGAGTGCTGGACTGTCTGATAGTCTTCTTTGTACCTTGGCTTGTCTGAGAATGACCCTAAGTGGTTCTTATTGCTTATATATGCTTGGAGAGGGAGGAGCCTAGTGAATCTGGTCAGTTTCAGGGACTTTCTGAAGCTATTTTGAGTTGTCCACTTCCTGTCTTAAGGAGCTTCTCTGTAGAATAGAATGTCTTCCCTTCCCTTTGAACATCCTGCCCTAAAACATCCTTTTTCACCTCCATTTCATATCTTACGTTTTAAAGAGGAAGGTTTTAACTTGAGAGGAAACTGCTATACATCAAACCGCTAGATGTAGCATGATCCTAATTGGTCTTAATACTAAAAATCCGGAGTCAGATATTGGGGTAAGTGCTGAAAGATCAGAGAAGTAAAGGAGCAGCCACAGTCAATTCTTATCTCCACAACTCCTCAGACGGAAAAGGGCTGAGCTCCTGTCTGTCTCCTGTCTGTACAGACCTCCAGACCTCTATGGTTACCTAATGGCTAGCTCCACCCTCCGATCTTGAGGCAAGCTTTATTTGTTAGAGCACAGAAAGCATCACCACACCTAGAACTCACACACAAAGGCCGAGTTTTGGTGGTGTGAACTCGGAATCACATTTCTGAGAAGGGGGGCAGGGTGGTGGTGCTTGCCCACCAGCCATTCTCGGCCTGCTCAGCACGCCAAGGCTGTTCAGAGACCCCCGTCTTCACAAAGGGGATGAGGTTGTTTGGCACTTGAGGCAGGAGGCTACCCACAGTTATCCCCTGGTCTCCACAAGCACACCGTGCAAGAGCACACTAGCTGTTAAGATTCAGAAGGTAAGCACTCAGAAATTTCAAGTCGTTTCTAAAACAAACAAGATTCACAAATACCCTCCCCAAGGTTAAAGAAGCAATAACATCTCCAACTGGCCCAACGACGCTGGTCAATAGTCCACTGTCCTCACCCACGCCTGGGTGTGTGTGTGTGTGTGTGTGTGTGTGTGTGTGTGTGTGTGTGTGTGGTACAGCTGCCTTTAACTGCTCATGGTCCTAAGAAGTAACCCCAGTAAATTCACTGGCTCACTAGGATAAGCTTCCGTAAAATTGTTGGTGTTCTATCTGATGCTGGTGTTCTATCTGATGTTCCATCTGATCTGTCTCCCCAGGAAGTCACACCTTACATGCGCACGCGCACGCGCACACACACACACACACACACACACACACACACACACACACACACACACTATAGCAAAGTTCATTCATCAGCCTGTGCAGGAAAAATAGGGAAATCTGATTTTAGTAGGTCCTAAATAGATGCTTAATCAGTTTCTTTTCCCTTTTGCTAACGGAGGTGGCGAGGTAGGAACTTGGAACGGGCTCAGGTAGGCCAAGACCAAGGCAGGCAAAGGGAAAGTAGTACAGGGAAGAAAAAAAAAGCCTGCAGAGCTTCCCCAGGCAAAAAAGACAATTCCTCCTCTCCTCAGTCTCAATGCTCCTTTTTACTTCAGTCTTGGGACCTCCTGATCAGCGACAGTTACTTGAAGGGATTTAGAAACCGTGATTTCACGAAGGGGGTGTGTGTGTCATGAAAATAACATGGCCCTGGAAAGGCTTTTTGCATTGAAGGAAAAAGCAGCGCCAAACCAGACACCCAAGCTAATCCGAGGGAAGCGGAGAGGGCAGGGCCGGCCGGTGGGCGTTCGGAGGGGCGAGGGCACAGCTTAGAGAGCGCCTGGGAGCTTGGAAGGGGCCGCGACAAACGAGTGAAAAACGAGCCGGCCGAGGAGCACCGGGCAGCGGCGAGCGCGGCCGACAGAGGCGCGGCCGGCGGACACTGCGGAAACAAAGGTCGAACCTCGAGGACGGCAGCACCGGGAGCAGCTAGGCCGCGACGCGCGGGCCGGGGGCGC